CTATTGACTCTGCAGACAGTTGGCAACTTCTGCGCACTGAGCGCTTCAGCATGCGCTTACTAAATTATTTAGATTTCATTTGGGTACAGCATTGCACAATTGCCAGTTAAAGTAGCGTAATGCTGAACTGTAAAAATGCCCTGGCCATGAAGGGGAAAAACCTTCCGGAGGTCAAGTGGTTATGTTTTTACCTATTTTTTTTTTACTTTTTTAATTTAAGTTTTGGATATTACATTAACGTTGAAAAGGCAAAAACAAAAATGATATATATCAAGCACTGAGATTTGTGGATTAACCTAAATGTCAAAACATTTCTAGAAATTAACATGGAACAAAGCTTTATATACAATAGCTGACCATTATGAGGCTCATCGACCCAAAGATCAGGGGCAGATATGGTTATAGTCATAGGAACTGAGAAGCGTGGAGGTTATGAGTATCTCTGTCTCACGCTATGTATCAGTTTGAGAGGAAACAAAGTTTGTTCAGGGAATGGTCCATAAACAGAAAGCCACAATGTAACTGGACTAAACACAAACCTTTAGCCTAAGAAAAAACTGTCCAGAGTTACAGAAATAAGAAGCATATATACAACATATGTGGTGTTACCGTTTTTTTCATGACTCCCATACAATCTATATAATGTAGCAGACGCTGTCACATATATATATACAAATATGTTTATTGACATATCAATCAAAGAATAGAAAAAAAATGCCATTTTGTTACGTACCGTAAGAAATGTGATTTCCTGAATATACAAACAATTCACAGATTTTATGGCAAAAACCTGTATAACTGATTTGTAACCCAGTTTCCTTCTGTATCTTATTGTCCTATTTATACCACATAAATTATTTATATGCAAAAAAAATAACAAGTAACAGACAGTATGCACAAATCACAAATAGAATTTAATTATATATAAAACTTCTACAAAAGACAAATATGTGAAAAAGGAATATAATGAAAACAAACATTATGTGGTAGTGGATATAAAAAATAATGTCACATTGAATTGCTCTTTAATAATCCTAGATATGTACTAAGAATCCTATATCATATTGTATGTTAGGTTATATATGCAACACATGATTTTTAAGATTAATAAATATAATCATGGGAGGCTCAATAAACCCCATGGACAAACCAGTACACAAGGTTTACACCTATCTCTTGTTTACATGAGAGACCTTCATTTGGTAACTGCTTTCTTTACTTACATATCATTATTGACTTCAAGCTTAAAGAACATTCAGCTTGATTGCATTAAAAATGACAATTTAACAGGAACTGTGCCAAAGCAATTACGTGAATTTATGATGCTGCCATGATTAACATAGCAAAAAATAGTGGGCAGTGCCCTAACCAGACTGTATGTCCTATATTGAAAAGGGTTGTTGAGATTTTTATAAGCTGTATACTATGTGTAAAAAAATCTCTGCGATATAAGCAACACACCACTGCACTTTGGGAATATTAATTAATTCATAACAGTAAGGTATTAATTATTGTTTTATTACACTACTGTTGCCAAGCAAACAACATATACAAACAGAAGAAAACAAAAACTGATGGGACTTCACTGGTACAAGAAAAGGACAACCTCATGTTAATGTATAAAACATGTTTATTGAAACACATCTTCCAAATACTTCTTATAAAAATGAAAATGTCCATATTCCACACAATCATAATAATAATATCCATAATAATAATATCCGGCACATAATTATAAAACCCATACCTGGTTATGCCATCCAGAAGGGAGGTATAGGAAACGTCTACAACACTAAGATCTATAGACGAAACGCGTTGACCTCTGCAGGACATACGTGCCACTATACATGATGCTGTGATCTTTTGGGCCTACTAGCCAAGTATTGTTTTATAAGAAGTATTTGGAAGATGTGTTTCAATAAACATGTTTTATACATTAACATGAGGTTGTCCATTTCTTGTACCAGTAAAGTCCCATCAGTTTTTGTTTTCTTCTGTATGATATATTAGGGATGAGGTACGTTTGCAGTCTGGTTAATATAATAACATATATAAACAAACAACAAATTGTGCGCTGTTAGTAAAAAGTGCAAAAATATTCTTAAACTGGTCATACACATTACAGTCTTTTCCCAGTTTGTTTTGATTCAGCACATCTAAACCTATGTGGTTATTAGGTCAATGGTGTTGTAAGCAGATGCAACCGGGAGCTGTCCTGGCTGCAGCTGATTGGCCCAGGAATGACAGTTGCCTTCCAGGGTCAGTCACACCCAAGTTCAGACCAAACTCAAGCTCATCACTAATCTATAGCAACACCAACCATGGCCCCAGCCACAACCCTATCATGTCTAAAGCATCTGATAGTCTTCTATAGTATTACATAGAGAGGCTGTTGGTGTTGTCAGAGAATGCAGCTGAGACTTTCTTTACAGAGCTAAACAAGTCAGGCAATGTCTATCCAATCAGGCAGTTGTTGGCATAAATAAAGATTGTACAATAGATAGTAAAGCATATAGTAAGTCATGGGCACCTCCACATTTGTAACAATTTTCACAGCCAATTTATTAACATATGCTTGGATTGTACTTGCTTCAACCCACCTTAAAGTTTACATCTGCTCAAAAGGAATGAGCAAAACACTGAGCTAAATGTTAGATTAAACAGAAAATATTTTCAGCTGCACAAAAGCAAGCATACAAAAAGTATATGTTCTTTATATATTTTTTTTCATTTTCTTTAAGCTTGTTTCATCAGTATGAAAAAGTTGAACAAACAACTGCTGAAAATGATAAGAGACTGTTCCTTGTGTCCTCTTCCAACATCAGTAGACAGAACTAGAAGAAAGAAATCTTTGACATTAAATATCTCCAGCCTTCCTCGATTTCTTATTATATTCCTCCTAGGCAACATGGCATATAGGAGGGTACTGCTACAAGAGCTCACAATCTAAAGGAAACAGGAGGAAGTGAGGCATGAAAGACAAGTGTGTACTGTGCAAGATCAAGTATAATACATTTTGAGGCCAGTGTGGTGTAGGGGCTGCCTAATGCCAGTGCATATGTGGGAGTGTGTATTTGTGTGCTCTAGGAGGACTGGAACTATTTTTTAAAGGTAGTATTTAATTTTATCAACACACAATAAGGTTTCTGGGTAACACTTATACACCCTAACCACTTTTGATCTCCTGTCTCAATTTAACAAATTCTAATTGAATACTAATAGCTAGACTTTGATGATAATAATAATAATAATAATAAGAGCAATTCTTTGAATAATAGCATAGCCATAATAATTTTATTATTATTATTCATAATAATAATAATAATAATAATAATGATAATTCAATAATAATAATATAGCCATAATAATTAAATAACAATACTAATAATAATAACGCAATAGCTACTATAAAAAGTCTTTGAGTTGAATAATATCATTAATAATTATAACTTTAAAAGGGAAAGCTCAGATGATTAGTTGTTAGATGTAGCATAACTGTACACTTGTATTAAAAAATGATTATTTTTTTGTCTTGAATAGAATCTGGAAGAATTGGATTCTCTGTTAGGTGTCTCAGCTGGAAATATTCATCCTCCCTATTTGGGAATGGCCATTGTCTTTGGTACAAAAAGTGATGGGAAATCAATATTTTTGAATTTTCACAGAAGGTGAGGGGAAGCCTGTTCTGGTGACAACTGTGTAGGAGGGGGGTGTCTAGGATGGAGAGATTCCTCTCTCTCTGCTGTGTCTCTGGGACAGGAAATGAAGGGAAATCTCCCCAATAGGACATAGATTGCAGAATAAAACTGTCAGGACCCTTACCTACTTTAGCCAAAATAAACAAAACAATTTGGCTGAACATACACTTTAACAGCTCATTTTATTGACATGTCATTGACAGAAATGTATCCATATGTTTCGGCTTCAGTGCTAATCAGTTGTTTAAGGCCCCATGCACACAGAGCATTTATTTAACTCTTCTAGAAGCCAGCAGTGTTTTTGAAGTAAAAATGCCCGACGCTTGTAAAAGTGTTTAAAGCTTTTACAGGCATCAAGTTCTTGGACATTATTTAACTTAATTGGCCAGAATAAATAATTTATTCTGGTCACTGAAATGAATTATTACTCAAGAACTAACGGTTAGGCACGTGTAGCAGCTTTTAGAAGCTTCTAGCTTCAAGCGTTTTTTGTGCCCAAACTCTGCTGCTCCTGGACACACTGGCATTGGGGTTTCTTTTATCCTGCCTCTAAAAGCCTCCAAAGGCTCCTGCCACTAAACGCTACTAAAAGCCTATGTGTGCATGGACACACAGGCTAATATAGAGGGGTGTTTAGAGGCAGGGAAAAAAAACGTCAGACGCCCTTAGAAGCAGCTGTAAAAACGTCCTGTGCGCATGAGGCCTAAATAAGTATTCTTTTTGTTCGGTCTGTTTGTATTTGAATGTTTTATTTTAAAGATATTGATTTGCATAGAACATGTCGTAGTCAGGTTTAGAAAATATATCAATGTGGTGACTTGTAAGATGCGTTTTATATGCCTCTCCATCCATAAACATAGCCCATCAGTAAACGTGGCCATTGCATAGCCCTTTTTTCTCATGTCATAATACGGGGACATTAGATTAGAAAACATTTTTGTATTTATTCAGGTTTGTATTAATATTTATTTTTTGGGTGATGGGTTATTGCATCACAGTATAGCCAATGGATGGAGGCTCTGAAGAAATTAGGGACACAAAAGGTGCTGTGAAGATGGAATGGGCCAGCATTAAACCAGGCCCTATGTAGGGGACAACTTTGGCAATACTTCAATATACAATTAATAATTTGCTTTATTGATTTACACGAAAAACGTATTTCATTGATAAGACTATGTTTCCGCATATATTTAAAGGGGATAGAATATAATGCACAGGGGATGTTTATAAAACAATATGAAATCAGCACTTGTCTTCTCCATGTTGATATAAAGCATTGTTTTCTTCAAAAGGTCATTTTTACTAGCATAAGAAGACTCCAGCTTGGAAAATAGGCAGAAAGAGGGGCAGAAGAAGAGGCCACGGCGTACAAAGGGAAAAAATGCTCATTCCACCACATGTCTCGAGTTTGTCTGTAGAACAATAAAATAATAGTCAGATACTTTGTTTAGTTCAATGTGAGTGCATACACAGAAACAGCTTGCTCAGTACACATCAGTACGTACCAATGAATCAAGGCACCCAATGCACAACTCAGCTCAACACGGCTGATTTACTATTGGCTTTGAGAACTTTCCCTCAAAAAATTGTGTGAATATAAACTTCAGTTATCCAATCATGTGAAAAGCAAATTTCTATTCACTTTGAACACCATTTGGTGCTTTTTACATGATTAGATAATTGAAGTTAATATACAGTACATCCAAGTTTTTATTTTAAGATTCTTAACTCAACTAGTAAATCAACTAGTAAATCATCGTATTCATATCTATTAATTTGGAACTTACACAGTTACATACCTCACAGTTAAAACAACAACCTATTACATGTATATTTGTAAAATATGCTGAAATAAAGATAGGCGCTTGCTAGATTCCTAATAATACATCATAAATACAAATTTGTGCAGAGTAGAAAACAAAAAACGAGAAATAAAATAAAAGTAAAAGTCTGCCACAGTGTATAACCCAACACCACACAATGATGTAAAAAAAGCATCTAGGTGTAGTATTTATTTAGGATATTTTGCATAAAAAAGGGTAAAAAATGCACTTACATTTCAAGGTCAATATATTACCGGCACCAGTGTATACAGCCTATAATGGATGTTAGTCACTGCACTTGCCTCTGTTGGCCAGCATGCGTTCCAAGCCTCTGTTTCGTGGGCTAGACGGGACATCATATGGGACCCGGAAGTGACGGTCCCAACGCTTCTACATACGTTTCACCAGAGCGGTATCTTCAGGAATGTGTGTTCCCATTATTTACCCTTTTTTATGTGCAATACCTCAAATAAATACTACACTTAGATGCTTTTAATGGATGTTCCCTGCTTCATTACTAAGTATGCCATATTACGTTGATCATTTGAAGAAGCACATGGAATTCACTTCTTGACCTAAAGCACCCTTGGGAGATCATACGCTGTCTGACCTACCTGTAAAAAGGGGTCAAAACCCTCCAGTGAGTGCACTTTTTTTTTTTTTCGGACACAAGTGGTGAAGATTTGGGGAGATTGGGTTGATCCCACATCCACTGAAGGACTTACATCATTGTGTGGTGTTGGGTTATACACTCTGGCGGACTTTTACTTTCATTTTATTTCTCATTTTTTTTGTTTTCTACTTTGCACAAATTTGTATTTATGGATATTTTTATGCCTGATACTCCACTCACCATCTTTTTACTTTAACAATGAAAGAATGCATTACCTGTAAGCGACCTGTCCAAACTTTCATTCAACACAGGGACCCCCAGCAGCACTCCAACCCCCCTTTCCAATTTCTGCATTGACAGTTAAAATGTATGTTGTGGATGAACAGCAATATTGTGTGTAGATATAACACACCATGATGCAGAACTACACGTGATTTGTCATTGGCAAAAATCACATACATATGAGGAATCCAGCAGTACATAGGTGACTGTGCAAATTATGTCATCGATATTTACTTATACAGGAGCCATTTTCCAGTATAGGCAATGTGTCTACAATCTGTATATGCTGCTTTACCAGGATTCTTAATACTTTTCATCATTATGAAAGCTCATATTGCCTATGCAGTGCAAAATAAGTATTCAAGGCTAAAAATAAAAATGTATTATATTTTAGCTTACTAGTCCTTAGATGTGGTGGCTGCATTAGTTTACACTTTTCAGGCTTAGAACATGTTTAGCAAGAATACAAAATACCTGTTACTCTTGCTAGAAATCCAGTGTCCTTGTAGCTTTATGTAAGACTTATCATTTTTGTGTAAACTAGTTGTCCCATCAATCCACCATGTAATGGATAGTGAACAAAGGCCTGGTAGTTTGAAGTCCCAAAGACCCCACATGAAGAGAGATTTTGCCCATGGGGTTACAGACAACAAGAAAAAACTTTTATAAGTTCTAACCCTTCTCCATAACTCTTTAAAAAAGGTTTGCATGGAATTGGACTTTAAAGTGAATATGTGTCCAGGCTATGGGTGTTATGGTATTTAAATGCTTAAACGTCCATAACAAACAAGCACCAAATGAGTTTAAGACATGCCCTTACAAGCCTTTACTGTCCTCTATAGCTGCAGGCACTGCAGAGCAATTAAAATGACATTAAACAATGGTTTAAAAGAAAATTGATTGCTCTGAGTGATGTTTGCTGCTGTGATCAAAGTCCCAAATCTGTGCACATGTTCATTCTAGTGAATAAAATAAATGAATAATTTAGCCATTAGAATACGTTTATGCATCTATACTTCTAAAGGTCATATTCCAGTAAATGTGCAAAACAAGTATTTTTATGGCAGCTACTGGTAGAATGATCCAGCACAGAAAGGAGCATTTTAATATCTTGTGCAGGGCTGGGACAAGGGGGTGGACAGGAGGGGCGGCTGCCCTGGGCATTATGGTATCATGTGAGGTGAGGGGGCACCACAAGAAGATTGGGGGAGGGGATTTGTGTTGGGAGTGGGAATTAGGGGGGGGAGGTCAGATAGGGTAAGAATTTTTCTAGGAGGGGAAATTTGGGGAAGTGTGCTAGGAGTGATGATTTGGGGCGGGTTGTGTTGTGAGGGGAGGATGGAGAAAGAGGGTCTGTGCTAGGAGGGAGGGTTTGGGGAGTGTATGCTAAAAACATTTAAATGGTAGAGCAGAAGGGGATGTGTACTAGGAGGGGAAATGTGGGGGGGGATTGTGCTAGGGTGGGGGATTGGGGTGAGTAGAATTTGTACAGGGAGGAGGATTTGAAGTGTCCGTGTGGGGGGGAAATTTGTGCTTGGGGGGGAAATTTGAGGGGTTGCGGATCTGTGCCAAGAGGGAGGAATTTGTGGGGGCATATGGAGAGAGGATTTGAGCTAATGGGGGGATGGGAGGACTGGGAGGAAATAAAATTCATGCTTAGACAGTAAGCATGCAGATTCTTGGTCAATTTTTTTTTTTGGGGGGGGGGGGGATTGTTGGTGACACATAATGGTCCTACATCTTGATTGAAGGGGGACACTATTTGGGATGTTCGCCCTGGGTTCTAGGTGACCTTGTCCCAGAACTGACCTCGTGTGCATGAATACTAACTTCCAGACTGCAGTAAACCTTTTGCAAAATATTAGACCTTCCAGATTATCAGTCCAGGTGAGAACAATTATTGCATTTTTATACGCGTTTTCATAATTTATGCAATTCTCATTTCACAGTATACAGTCTTCATCATCTCACCTTTTTGGACACCGATATTGGCTGTTTGGTTGACAGTGAGGTCTTTAGGAATGTTTAGAGTACAGTAATATAGACCAACATCAGAGGCATTGAATCGCTCAATGTGCAGCTGTACAAGGCCACGTGTTGTATAAATAGTGGCTCGGTTGTGATACTTGTCAGTGAAGAAGTTAAGGTTTATAGTAGAAAGAATGATCTCAGGCTCTTTATTACGTTTCAGTTTGAATTCATATCGCAAAGGGTTGTCTGTAACGTTCTGATATCGGCAGTCAATCCTTAGTGTCGGACCACGTCCAGTTAAACACGCTGTGAGACGTGTGATTCTCTGCTCATTGGATGCCTGCAGTACTAAACAAGAATTAATATCTGTGAATAAACACACAACTTTCTCCAGTTATCATACAGTACATAGTGAGCTTTGTCACAAAAAGAGCACCTTCCATGCATGCCATAACTATCCATACCTCTTCAATAAGAAAGAGGGACATGTATTGCACAAAGTGTATAGCGAAAGAACACACATCTGCCTCACCACTACAAGACCACAAAGAATTATTATGAAAAAAAATATTGCTTAAAGTGGTTCTAAAGACTGAAGGTTTTTACCTTCATGCATTCTATGCATGAAGGTAAAAAACCTTCAGGGTGAAGCTCCCCACTAATACTTATCTGAATCCAATCCCGATCCAGCTTGTGCATGAGAGCCGAGGCTCTCCCGTGACTCTCTCCTGATTAGCTGAAACACAGCAACGGGAGCCATGGGCTCCCCCCTGCTATCAATCACTGTCAGTGAAGAGAGAGTGGGAGGCAGGACTGAGCCACGCTCTGTGTGTACCATAGATACACAGAGGAGGCTCAGGAGTGAGCACGTCAAGTGCCTCCAGAGCAAGCAGCTTGCTTTGGGGGCACTCAGCAAGGAGAATGGGCCAGAAGTGGCAAGGGGGACCCGAGAAGAGGAGAATTGGGCTGCTCTGTGCAAAATCATTCCATAGAGCGGGTAAGTATAATGTGTTTATTATATTAAAGAAAAAAAATAAACAAACAAGGCTTTAAAACCACTTTAAACCAGGAGTCCCCATACTCTTCAGTTCATCAGCTTCTTAATAAAGTTTTAGGTTGTTCATCAACATCCAAATATTTGAATTGGTAAACTTAGTTATTATTCCAAATTTCTAAATATTCTTGTGAGCACTAGCAACTCTTCCTCTTGTAATCAGCAGCTGCAGTTACGGTTGTTACAAGGATGATTTTTTTTTTAAATAAATGCATAGCAAATAAATCTTTGGCACCATTTTCTGTTGCTATGGGTGTTGAGAATGTAAAAGCTCTCCATCATAGTGTGAGGTGGATGTACCAACTGGCTCTACAGTAGAGTCTGAGGTTGGGAAACATAAGAAGTGTGGGAATTGAACAGAACACATGCATATATAGTTCCCGGAATGGCGAATTTGGAAGGTCACAGACAGGTAGAGTGCTGGTAAACTAGACCAGTAACAACACATACACGATAGAGAGAACACAAGGCACATCTTGACCATCCAATACTGGTTAAGACTGTTTCCCAGCTATCCCCCCCCCCCCCCCTCATCTTCAGAACCAGGGACTGTTGTGGAGCGCTAAAGAGATCTCAAAAAAAATAACTGACCCCAATCAACCTTCTATCATTATTCAACCTCCTATTGACGCCAAGACATTTACTGACACCTTTTTTTACCTCAATGTATTTATCAACCCCTTGGATTGTTCCATCAACCATTGCATGTCAATACTGACCACTTTAGGAAACCCTGAGCTTTTACCTCTGCTTTTCCTTTATACTGGATTTTCAAAGTAGCAAATACAATAATCTTGAGGTTTAGTGCTGTAAAAAACGCTTTTGGTAGTCAAATCACACAATTTTTAAATAGAGTTCTATATGGCAGACCAAAAATAAGACAGCTGAGTAATAAAATGAGAGAGGAATTTGATTTCAATAGAGGGACAGACCCTTCAAATAAGGGACAATTGGGAGCCATGAATTGCTATCTACTGTTTTGCAAGTAAAAGATGAATTATGATATATTGTTATTGTTACACTTTAATTATTCAGTCTGCTATTAGTGTCATGTTTTTGCCTCACTGTGTAATTATATGTGAATACCAACATCTTACACTAACCTACACAATATAGGAGCATATGTGTGGAGGGCCATGAGCATCACTAAGGTGCGAAAATGGGTATATGCCTTTATTAATGTACATATTTGAAATTAAATTAGATAAAAAGAGCATGCAGCACAAGGTTGCTTTTACTTCCACCATGTTCCAGAAACACCTAGCAAGTATCCTCGCTGAGATTGCTTTTAGTTTGCTAGTGAGGTTTCAAATTCTGACTTTAGGCCAAAGACTTTCAGGTGACACAAAAATGAACATATTAAAAAAAGATAATTGCTAAGGTTCATTTTAAGCCTAATAGCTAATGCTAATTTTTGTCTCTGTCTAGAACTGAGAATTCTCTGGGAGGGTAAGATGATGTGAATAATCTGTGCATTGTGGTACGCTGAATTAAAATGATGCAGTCATTCCAAAAAATAAAAAAATGAATGAGCAGCCTTAGTGCAATGCATGTTAAGTGCACAACACTACATAATAATGTTCATTCGGTTACCTACTGCACTGCATTGGAACAATACAATGGATCCTTACATTCCCACAATATTACCTGCTTGTTGCCTCTTTATTTCCAGAAAAAACATGCATACAGCCACTCAATGCACATCCCTCCTCCTCTTGGTGATACTGGTGCCCTCTTCCATATTAGCACTGTTTCTTTTTTGCATAAACAAATGTAAGTACATTTACCCCATAACAGCCACTTTTCATCTTACTAATTAAATGCCATACATTGAAGGACCAATTTATTATTTTGACCTAAAATTTGACTTTTTATCCCATTTAAGTTCATCTTGAGATATTTTTCCTCCAGCATCCTCTAGGTATTTGACCTCTATAATTTTTATTTTCAGTTTACTATGGATTTACATTTTGCATATATGAACCATTATAGATTCTGGCCAGGACACTATCTACATGTGCTTGTGTTGGTTTCATCTCACACCCCAAAGACATAGGGCTCTGAAACATGTGCATGTACAATATGCATGTATGTGTGATAGGGACCTTCGCATGTAAAGCAATGCAAGAATTGTTTGTGCAACATAAAATGCCAGTATTTAATAAATGTAAATGCCCAGGAATTACAAAGTTACACAATCAGTGGAAGCCCAATAGCTGAAGAAGAATGACATTTGATGCAGACTAAAGGGTAAAGGAGAGGGCAGTGGCAGCAAGGAAGAGTGCTGAGTTGTCAGTGGTGGAGCAGAACAAACTGAGAGGAAAATCTTCCATAATGTCAAAATATTATCAGGGGTGTGGAAATGTTTGAAAAAATTACTTGTCCAGGGACTAAATTGGTTTCCCAATCTACTTGTCCTTCATGACAATCTACTTGTCCTGATAAAAATAAATATTTAAATCGGAGGTGCTTTACAGAATGTCTGGGGCTTTTAAAAACTAAATGGGCTTTACTTAAACATTTAATATTTTTAACATTGTGCTGTTTATCTCCTCCTCCCCTCCCTGCCTGTCTCCAGCAGGAGAGAGACCTTGCAGTGTAATGAGCACTGATTGGCTGCTCGTCAGGAAAAGGGAGCGTTGGACTTATCCTTTATCCCTTTCGCTGTCAGAGCCATTTTTGGCACACATTTAAAAAATCATTTAAGGCCTGAAGATTACACAAAACTCCAAAACATAATATATTTTCTGAAAGCAAAGACCCTAGAGAATACAATAGCAGTAGTTCCAATTTTTTCTATCACAAGATATTATCACATAGGTCTAGAAAACACAAAATCTCAGTAAAAAATACACTTAACTTAATTTTAGGGCACAAAAAGCAATAAACTATCCAATTTTTTTGTAAAATATAAAAGACGAGGTTGCATCAAGTAAATATATATCCAACATGTCAAACCTTAAATTTGCATGTGCTCGTGAAATGGCAACAAATTTTAGTACCCTATATTTTCTATAGGTGACCCTTTTAAAGCCTCTTATAGGTCATCTGTTTAGCGTTATGGAGGAGGTCTGGTGCTAGAATTATTGTTCTCATTCTGGTGTGCATGGTGATATGTAACATGTGTATCGCAATCATCGTTTTCATGTGTGGGTGTCCCAGCATGTGCTTTTACATTTGTGCGTGCGTACATATGTGGGGGTGGGGGGCCTTGGGGAAATCTGTGTGGGGGGGTTATATGCTTGGGTGTAACTTACATTTTTTTTAAAAATAAAAAAGACATTTTTTACTTAACTGTTTTTTTTTTTTTATCACATAGGGGACAGAAATGTCCCTTATGGGATGATTTTTTGGTGACAGGTTCTCTTTTTTGAGACATCCAGGGTCTAAAAGACCCTGCATGTCTCCCCTGTGCTCCTCCGAATGTAATGCAGTGCACATCGCACTGCATTACGTTCTTTCCCGGCCTCGATGGCTGGGCATCTGTCAACAGGGACCCAGAAGTGATGTCACGCGTGTCCGCTCTCCTCCCTCCTCCATACCTGAATCACGACATACCGCCGGCACCCAGTGACCGGTCCGGGGCTCGCAGATGGGCAAGCGGAGCCCAGGACATATAGTGGGCAGGGGGACGTCGGCTGGCACTGTGGGCTGTGTGGAAACAATCGGGCGGCAGCGCTGCCGCCTGAATGCTTCCACCTGACCGGTGCCCGGAACTACATGTCCCGGGCATCAGGCGATATGAACTGCGCATCCCTGATTATGAACCAGGGATGTAAGAGGCTGTTAGAGCCTCCTAAATGGAGGTCCCATCATATTGTTTCTTCATAATGGGCTTGTCTTTTCAGGCAGATGGAGTCAAGGTAGGAGAGTTCGGACCGTGGAATGAGCAGAGAGATGTTCCCAATAACATGCTAATAAAAAGGGACTGCGTCATGCTCCGTGAGTAACCTTTCTCATAAAAATGTCCTCTAAAAATGACTAACTGGAAGTTAGAGTCACCTGGGGAATATAGAAAATCTTCTATTCTTTGCATACGCTGTACTCGAGTTTACGATAGCACTGCTGAAAAACCCAAGAATAGTGCCTCAAAGCCATTTAGGACAATGACAGGCTGTAATAGCCAGATTAAATACAGCTACAAATATGCTAAGTAGGTTCAACCTGCCCATTTGCAAGAGCCCTATTACTGGAAGGACTGTAATGTTTAATTTCTTCTGGAATACAGTTTATATTTATTTTAAACAAACCCAACTGGACAGTCTTCTGATTGAGGCTGGGGAATGAAGAATAA